TGGTCATCCAGCCATTTCCATACATCCCCTGAAATCTAGATGGAAGTTCCCAAACCCTAATTCTTGACTTCTGTGCACTCGCAGGCTCAACACTAAGTGGAAGCTGTCAAGGCTTGGAGCTTGCACCTCTGAAGCCATGGCCCCAGCTCTATATCGGCCCCTTTCAGCCATATAGAGCTGGGACAGAGGGTATTAAGTCCCTAGGCTGCACATAGCATGGGGACCCTGGGTCCGGCCACAAAACCATTTTTCCTTCTGGGCCTCCAGGCCTGTGATAGGAGGGGCTGCCGTGAAGACCTCTGACATGCTGAGGAGATGTCTTTCCCATTGTCCTGGGGATTAACATTTCACTCCTTTTTACTTATGCAAATTTCTGCAGCTGGCTTGAATTTCTCCTCAGAAAATGGGTTTTCTTTTCTGCCACATTGTCAGGCTGCAAATCTTCTGAACTTTTATGCTCTGCTTTCCTTATAAAGCTGAATGCCTTTAACAGCACCAAAGTCACCTCCTTTTTTGTGTGTGTGAGACAGAGTCTCGCTCTGTTGTCAGACTGGTGTGCCCTGGCACCATCTTGGCTCACTGCAACCTCCACCTCCTGGATTCAATTCTCCAGCCTCAGCCTCCCAAGTAGCTGGGGCTGCAGGAGCGTGCCACCATGCCCAGCTAATTTTTGTATTTTTAGTAGAGACAGGGTTTCACCACATTGGCCAGGATGGTCTCGATTTCTTGACCTTGTGATCCACCTGCCTTGGCCTCCCAAAGTGCTGTGATTACAGGCATGAGCCACCACATCCAGCCCAAATCACCTCTTCAGTACTTTGCTGCTTAGAAATTTCTTCTGCCAGTTACACTATATCATCTCTCTCAAGTTCAACGTTCCCACACATCTCTATGCTGCCAGTCTCTTTGCTAAAACTTAATAAGAGTCACCTTTGCTCTGGTTCCCAACAAGCTCCTTATCTCCTTCTGAGACCACCTCAGCCTGGACCTTATTGTCTATATCACTATCAGGCTTTTGGTCAAAGCCATTCAACAAGTCTCTAGGGAGTTCCAAACTTTCCCACATTTTCCTGTCTTCTTCTGAGCCCTCCAAACTGTTCCAACCTCTGCCTGTTACGCAGTTCCAAAGTTGCTTTCACATTTTCGGGTATTTTTCAGCAACACCCTACTCTACTGGTACCAATTTACCATATTAGTCCATTTTCATGCTGCTGATAAAGACATACCTGAGACTGGGAAGAAAAAGAGGTTTTATTGGACTTACAGTCCCACATGGCTGGGAAGGCCTCAGAATCATGGCAGGAGGTGAAAGGCACTTCTTACATGGTAGTGGCAAGAGAAAATGCAGAAGATACAAAAATGGAAACCCCTGATAAAACCATCGGATCTCATGAGACTTACTACCACAGAACATTATATGGGAAACCACCCCCATCATTCCTCTTTATCTCCCACCAGAGCCCTCCCACAACACATGGGAATTATAGGAGTACAATTCAAGATGAGATTTGGGTGGGCACACAGCTAAACCATATCACATTTGTATTATTTTTATATCATACATATGTGCCCCCACCATGTTCTTTCATTCACATGGATAGTATTGTTGAAAGTGTACTTTCTGTTGGACTTCCAGTTTTAGGCCAGGCTTAGGCCTAGGTTGTTGAATTATTAATGAAAAAATCTAGAGACAGAAAGTAGAATGGTAGTTACCAGGGACTGGGGCAGGGAGAAATGGGGAGTTCATATTTAATGGGTACCATGTTTCAGTTTGGGAAGGTGAGAAATTTCTAAAGGCATGTGATGGTGATGGTTATACAACAGTGTGAATGTGCTTAATGCCACTGAATGATACACTGACACATGGTAGAAATGGTAATTTGATGTTAGGTATATGTTACCACAATTAAAGAAAAGTAAGGCTGGGCGTGGTGGCTCACGCCTGTAATCCCAGCACTTTGGGAGGCGGAGGCGGGTGGATCACGAGGTCAAAAGATCGAGACCATCCTGGTCAACGTGGTGAAACCCCGTCTCTACTAAAAATACAAAAGAAATTAGCTGGGCAGGGTGGCGTGTGCCTGTAATTCCAGCTACTCAGGAGGCTGAGGCAGGAGAATGGCCTGAACCCAGGAGGCGGAGGTTGCGGTGAGCCGAGGTCCTGCCATTGCACTCCAGCCTGGGTAACAAGAGCGAAACTCCATCTCAAAAAAAAAAAAAAAAAAAAAAGAAAAGTTAAAATAAAAAAATCATAGGGAAAATTCAACGGAAACCTCAGGAAATGGTTGGGGAGGTCAATTCCAAACCAACATACATTCTAAAATGTCAGAAATTGTCAGTTAGCAAAGTAAGGATTAATTAGATTTTACACTTATATGTTTTTGTTGGCATTTCTGGTAATAAAGAGAGAAGAGTGTGATCATTCCTCTTCTATGTCAGTTCTAGAAACTTCTCTTCGTTCTTCACTTTGGTGCTTGCCTGAGTATGTACAAATGTGTGCGTGGGTGTGTTTGCAAACATGGGCAATGGCTGGTGGATTTGCTACTTTATTTCTAGTATTTCTGTGCCATTTTATTAATAGGAGAGCTGTGGGCCCAAGCCTCTGGATATAACTCTGTCCTTCCTTAGTGCTTCTGAGTTCAAACTGAGTAACTCACAAAATACGTCTGCATCGGGACTGATTCACAGAGTTCATTTTCTCAAAGGGCAAACAACTTTTTGTTTCTGGTAGAAATTAAAGATGTGTTTGTAAAGACCCTCACTTCTTTTTCACCAAATGCATCACCGTTCTTCCCTTTAATCCCATGAGGTGGTTTTATGGGGTGGCACGTAATTTGGAGCTCATGGAAGCCTAAGAACCATTAACCGACTGAGCTAACCAGGTTCCTCCATTAGTTTAATTTCAAATTGAATTCTCCGTCCTCCATGATTGAAAGAGTACATTCAATTCTTGTAACAGTTTTTATATGTATGACTGACAACCCTTGCTAGATCATAAGCAGTTTAGGGGCAGGGATGGTGTCTTGTTCATGTCTGTACCCCATGCATCATCTAGTGTTCAATAAGGAATTGTTTATGGAAATGGATTACATGATCAAATTAGAAATACAATACAGGCCGATTTATTCCATCTCTGGACTTGCCTTGCTTACTGGATGCTTATTACAATGACCTGAGACACTTCAGAAGCCTTAAGTGCTCTCTGAATTATCCAAGGGAGATGAGCTTGGACTAGTAGAGTGTTTGTGCTTAGTGCCTATTACTGGATTCTGATTCTTTGGAAACAAATGAATCCACAGGGATATATTATTTCTTTATGTTCTGAATGTTTGGTTAACCTGAATGTCTTAAGATCTTATGCCCCAAACATGACAGGTGGGATTAAAATTCCTTCCCTGAAGAGAACATATTCCTTTATGCTTCCACTATAAATTTATACACAAGTCATGTTTTGTCCTCGCTCCTATTCCTTCCTTCCCTGTAGTCTTCCAGAATTCTGGAAGCATTAGGCCTTCTGGGGCTCCCTGCAGTTGGCAAGAGCAAGTCATTGTGTGAGCAAGTCCTGGGCCCCTTTATCTTTGGATGCTCAAGTCAGGAAGTAGGGGGCTGGAGGCCATTGTGCTCATTTCCCCAGAGATTATCAATGCTGCCCCCACCCCTTTTAGGAGCTGGCATGTGCCATGATCATAGCGTAGTGGAATCCTTAATGCCTATCATCTTGGCTTAACAGGACAAATCCCAAGCCCGTTTCTGTTCTGGGAGGCAAAGCAGGACGTATGGGCCTGGAGTGAAGCTTTGTTCTGCTTCCTGCCATAGGCCATGGTATGACTACAGCTGTGTCTAGTGCGGCCTGGTTTTAATTTCATGCCTGATTTGCGATGTGGCAGGTCCTGAGATTAGACCTCTGTGTGCACCAGCAGAGTCAAGAGACTTTGGCCTGGTCACCTGGCTACTTGCAGGGGGTTCTGGAAGGTCAAGTTCTCTGAATCTCAGTTGCCTTTAACATAAAAGGAAAGCTGTAGTTTCTGGCCTGGTTGATTCATATGGTTTTGGTCGAGATTGAATGAAATTAATGTAGACTTAAAAACACATTATGAGTAGCAAAGTGCTATGCAATCTAATAATAATAACATTTTAATCACCCTTATCATATGTGCCAGGCACTGTACTAAGCTGTTCACAAATAACGGCTCATATAGTTGAGTGCTCACAACCACCCTATGAAAGAACTACTGTTAATATCACCCCTTTACAGGAAACTGAGGCACAGAGAGGTTATGTAACTTGTGGAAGGTCACACAACCAGCAAGTGGTACAATCGGGGTTTGAACCAGGCCACGAGGAGTCAGCATTTGTTATTGTTCCTATTCTGAGAGCATAGCTGTGGGGGGGAATGCAGCGCTGGTTTGGAGAACACATCAAACCGGCCTCCTGTCACCCACTGAGTGAATGAGATCATCGCTATACATTACGGCACAGCCAGCTATCCATGGTCTGCAGCACCAGATCAGTCTTGCAGGGACATGGATAGCTCAGCTAGTGAACATCGACGCGTTGTTCAATGAATAGTTGGAGTCAGTGGTTGGATCTCGTTTAGAGGCATGCTCTGGCATTCCAGTTTCACATCATTTGCTTTCCAGGCCCACTCCGGGATGAAAGTACTGATGTGCCGTAAAGGACCGACAGGCAAGATGTTGGAGGGTTCAGGAGCTGCCAAGGTTATGTTAGTGCTGACCTGTTGGCATAGGGCACAGCAGTGTCAGCTGCTTTGCTAAACCGAGCTGCTGAGATGCTGTGTTGATTTCTACATGTTCCAGGCAAACACTTCTGAGGATTGTCAGGATTTTCAACATGGGTTGGCCCTGGGACCACTGAGCCAGCATCTATCTTTGTCAGGTGTACCTAGAGATGATCTTTAAACCTAGGGATGTTCTCCAGATGCAGTTCCAGCTGGGCCAGTAAGATCTGCATGTTGATGGTGCTGTTTTCTCTTTCCTTCCCAGGCAGCCGGGATTGCTTACCGCCTGCAGCATGCTTTCGGAGGCGGCGCCTGGCACGGAGACCAGGCTACATGAGAAGCTCGACAGGGCCCGGGATTGGGTTCCTTTCCCCAGCAGTAGGCACACTGTTCCACGTCCCAGGAGGGGTGTCTGGTGAGGAGTCCCACCACTCGGAGTCCAGAGCTAGACAGTGTGGCCTTGACCCGAAAGGCCTCTTGGTTGGGAGCCCTGTTTCCGAGAGCATAGCAGCCCCTGCTGTGACCTCTGTGAGAGGAACCTCAGCACACTTTGGGATTCAGCTCAGAGATGGCACCAGATTGCCTGACAGGCTAAGCTGGCCTTGTGTTGGGTGGCAGCAAGAATTTTCAGCCATGGACAGTTCTGAGACCCTGGATGACAGCTGGGAGGCAGCCTGCAGCGAAAGAACAAGCAGTACCCAGGCAGCAGGCTCTCTGCCATCAGCGGAGTTGAGTAGCTGCAGCCCTGGCTGTGCCCCTGAGGCCCCCTCCGCCCCTCCTGGCTCTCAGAGTGCCTTTGCCTCAAGCTTTAGCTTTATTCGGCTCTCGCTTGGTTCTGCTGGGGAACGTGGAGAAGCAGAAGGCTGCCCACCATCCAGAGAGACTGAGTCCCCTTTTCAGAGCACCCGGGATATGGGAGCCAAAACTGCCAGCTTGAACGAGCCTCATGAAGACCCTCGATGTCTCCCTCAGCCCTTCAGTCTCTTGGCTCCACGGGTCTTGGCAGACTCAGCCCAGGCCACAGGGAACAGCTCCAGGCCAGAACGTGAGATGCATTCCTTACGGGATATGGATCTTGGATCCTCCAGTTCTCTGGATCCCTCATTGGCTGGCTGTGGTGGTGATGGGAGCAGTGACTTGGGGGATGCCCACTCTTGGGACGCCCTGCTCAGGAAATGGGAGCCAGTGCTGCAGGACTGCCTGCTGAGAAACCGGAGGCAGGTGGAGGTCAGTGTCTCCTCCGCTTTGTGGCCCGAGATTGTTGTGAGCTCAGATTAGCACTGGGCAGAGGGCAGGAAGTGAGGGGTTCTGGACTCAACTGGCTTCCTCCTAGAAGCTGCAGCAGCTTCTTTTGGAGCTGGCTGCACAAGGCTGTGGCTGCCCTTCTGTCTCTTTGAACTGGACACAAATCTGCTCTCCTTTTTGTCTTCTCTGTCATTTAGGTGCTCAGATTTGCTTTCCATTGGGCCGCAGTCTCCTCCGTAGGTACCGGCCTACGGAGTGTGCTGTGGTTCACTCAGCCCAGCTCTGCTTTGAGACAGGAAACTAGGGGCAGGGGTGATTGAGCTGGGTGATGTTTAGAAGGGTTGAGAGATATAAAAATGGGGATGCTCTGCATTAGGGCGATCCTGCTCTTCATCCACTTCACTCATTCACTTTCATCCTGCTGCGGTGGGCGCTGCCTTCCATAGGGTCAGAGGCTTCGCTTCTGGTCGTTGAACCTTTCTGGCTCTCAGTTTCCATAGTTTTTTTTTTTTTTTTTCCCGAGATGGAGTCTCTCTGTGTCGCCCAGGCTGGAGTGTAGTTGCATGATCTTGGCTCTCTGCTACCTCTGCTTCCCGGGTTCAAGCAGTTCTCTACCTCATCCTCCTAAGTAGCTGGGATTACAGTGCACCACCATGCCTGGCTAATTTTTGTATTTTTTAGTACAGACGAGGTTTTAGCATCTTGGTCAGGCTGGTTTTGAACTCCTGACCTCATGATCCACCTGCCTCGGCCTTTGAAAGTGCTTGGATTATAGGCATGAGCCTTCACGCCTGACCAGTTTCCATATTTAGAGATAACACCAACTCATAGGATTGTTCTAAGGCTCAAATGAGAATGTGGCTGCTTTGGAAATAAGATGAACTGGAGACATGTAAGCCCCAGCCTTATGATGATGCTGTCCATCCAGTTATCTGAGAGTGGGTAGAGCCAGAAGTACGCAGAGTTTCTCTACCCACAAAAATACTTGAAAAGCCCAAGTAGAGATGCACTGTGGCTGATCTATTGCCAGACTGTGTTTTAATCTTGGTGTGTGTGTGTGCATATGCGTGTGTGTGTGTGTGCATGTTTGTACTGTGTGTGCATGTGCATGCATATGCAAGTGTGTATATATTTGTGCACGCATGTGCTCTCATGTGTTTGTGCATGTGTGTGTGTGTGCGTGCATGTGTTCATGTGAATAGGGAAGTGGCACATCCACTCATCAGGCATTTGGGAGGAGTAAACTGCAGAAGTTCATGTTCATTCCCTGAAATAGCATCTACCTTCAGTTCTTATCTGCGGTGTGATGTTCCTAGTCCTGTCCCTGTTTGCCCTTTTTCAGCCCTCAGGGACCTCAGCCCAGCCCTCTGATTTATCATGCAGAGAGGAAGTGAGGCCAGAACAGAGACGTAGGCCTGTATTTTGGGTGACGTGTGGAGTCTTCCAGTAAGTCATTGCCCAAACCAGTGCTTCTGTCTTTCCCTCAGACCTGTTCTAAAGGGCCTCTAATATTGATTGATTCGAATGCATGGAATCTATCCAGTTTCTTAGGCCAGAAGCCACACTGTCTTCCATACCTCCCTCTCCCGCATTCCACATCTGGCTGGCCTCCAAGCCCTCTCCGTCCTTACGCTAATCTGCCTCTCACCGCCACGGCTGCTGCCCTGGCTCAAGTCCTTGTTATCTTTCACCTGGGTTTTGCAAGGTTTAGGCCATGTTTCTCTTCTCCAGTTAATTAAACTAAATGTGATCATATGTGCAAAGTGCTTCAGACAGGGGCTGGCACCTAGCAAGTACCCAGAAATTGCCCATTGTCATCCTTAGAAAAATAGCTCCAATTTAGAGAGTTTCAGTAAAAAGCAAATGAAGTTCTCCCTTCTGCCCATAGCTCAAATTAAATTCCCATCTTATCTCAAATGGTAGAATCTGGACACGATTTTTCTGTAGTCTAAATATTGTTGTCTATGGTAATCCCACACCTGGGCAGGGAAAAACATGACACTATCTCCAATTACAGTCATCTACTGCATAATGACGGATCACATATATGATGTGACAGTGGTCCTATGAGATTATCATACTGCGTTTTTGTTGTACCCTTTCTTTTCCTTTTATTTTTTTGAGACAGAGTCTTGCTCTGTTGCCCAGGCTGGAGTGTAGTGGTGTGATCTCGGCTCACTGCAACCTCCGCCTTCTGGGTTCAAGTGATTCTTTTGCCTTAGCCTCCTGAGGAGCTGGGATTACAGGTGTGCACCATCACGCCCAGCTAATTTTTTTTTTTTTTTTTTTGTATTTTTAGTAGAGACCAGGTTTTACCATGTTGGTCAGGCTGGTCTCAAACTCCTGACCTTGTGATCTGCCCACCTCGGCCTCCCAAAGTGTTGGGTTTACAGGCGTGAGCCACTGCGCCTGGCCTTGTTGTACCCTTTCTATGTTCAGGATTGTTTAGATGCACAAATACTTACCATTGTGTAACACTTGCTTACAGTATTCAGCACAGTCACATGCTGCACATCCTCGGTTTGTAGCCTAGGAGCAATAGACTATTCCATCTAGCCTAGGTGTGTAATGGGCTGCTACACCATCCAGATTTGTGTAAGCACACTCTAGGATGTTCACACAACAGTGAAGTTACTTGATAATGTGTTTCTCAGAATGCCTCCCTGTCATTAAGTAATGCAAGACTGTACTTGAGTATCTGTTGTGTGGGAGAGGCATTAACAGAGTAGTGGGGATGACAGAAATAACTCAGTCCAGGGGGTAGGACTTACAGGAAAGCAGAGTTTGCCTCAATCAGAGGAGGAACCTCTTGACAGTGGGAGCTGTCTGTGATGAGGCGGGCTGCCCAGGGACTTGTTTTCCCATGCTGTTTAGGCAGAGGCCTCGAATTGCTCACTGGGGTTGTGGCTGAGGTCCTTGGGACAGGACAGAAGGTTGAGTGAAGGATATCCAAGATCCTTTCAAAGAGTAGGATTTCTAGTGTTTGGTACCCTTTTCGATATTATATTCTAATTCCTTAACCTCCTTTCCCTTCTACTTAAGTAAAAATGAGAATCTCAGGAATGCAAGTTTCAGTTTCTTCTAAAAGATGGTTGCTCCTCAGTATTCGTGGATTCTATATGTGTGAACTCGTCTACTTGCTAAAATTTGTTGTTAACTCCAAAATCAATACTCACAGCCCTTTTTATGGTGATTTTTAATTTTAATTTTATTTTTTAAGACATGGAGTATCTCTCTGTCATCCAGACTGGGGTGCAGTGGTGTGATCATAACTCACAGTAATCTTGAACTCCTGGGCTCAAGCGATTCTCCTGCCTCAGCCTCCCTAGTGGCTGAGACTACAGGCACATGCCACCATGCCCAGCTAATTTTTTTTTTTTGGGTAGAGATGGGGGTCTCACCATGTTGCCCAGACTAGTCTTGAACTTGTGGCCTCAAGCAATCCTCTTGCCTCTGCCTCCCAAGGTACTGGGATTACAGGCATGAGCCGCAATGCTTGGTGGTCATTTTTGAACCTGCACAGAGTGGCAAAAAATTTGGGTTACCTGATGTGCATGCTTTCTACTTAGGTCAAACAAGGTCAGATCAGATGACATTCTGCCTTCTCTTTCATACTGCAAACTAGTATCCTTTTCATGGTCTATTTAATGCCATCTTTTTTTTTTTTTTTTTTTTTAACATTTTGTGTTCTTTATTGGTGAGTTCGCCATTTCAAATGGCTCCCAAGCACAGTGCTAGTGCTGTCTAGTGCTCCTAAGCTGTGATGGGCCTAATGGAGACGACATGGGTGTTCCATAAACTTCATTCAGGCATGTGGTAGAGGCTGTTGGCCAGAGTGCAATGCTCATGGATCAATAATACATGTTAAATAAGGTGTTTTTAAACAGAAACACACATAGAACAAGGTTACGTGTTGATTGATTGAGGAATGTGTTGTGACCAGGGGCTCATGGGAACCTACCCTGTATTTCTTCTAGGAGCAATGCTTCATTATTCCCTAATTCAGTATTCACAGACATTTTATAGAACATAACTACAGTACTATGAATAAGGAGAATCGACTGTGTATATTTAACACTGTTTAGAAATCGCTGCCCAGCGAGATTTCCAGGGGTTGCGTGGGACTGAGAAGATGGTGATAAAGGCAGTTGGTAACCAGGCGTGCAGAGGAGGGAAGTGGAGTGGGCCCTGCAAGAGGCTCCACCTAAGACCATAGAAACTGGTGACAAAGGAAGGATGATGGCTGCAGGGCATTACAGGACATTCCACAGGCAGGGTGGTGGTACCGTGCAAGGCATGGCCACTGGGGCTGTGCCTCCAGCAAAGATGGGCATTCAGACATGTCCCAGGCCAGTCCATTCAGGGACTTATGGAGATCACTGGATGAGGCAGTCATGGTGGGGTGGGCTTTGGCTATAAATGAATTTTTTCTAACCCTGTTTCCTGCATTTCTTCAGCTTCTGTTCTAATAAATGTTTAATGATACTGTCATTTGGGTGTGGTGACGGTAATGCTACAGCTTTATGTGGCCCTCAAACCATTCACACAGCCTTTCTTCTATCCCTAATATATAGGACTAAGTTACTGGTAAACTTCCCAGTTGTAATATAGAGCAATTCAAGGACAGAGAGATTAATATCATTGTTCATTCATTCTTTCATTCATTCAGAAAGCATTTTTTCAGTGACTACTAGTACAATGTCTTGTGCTAAGCTTTGGAGATTGTTAGGATAGGTTAGTAACATGCACTACATTAGAGGCTCAGCACAACAAAATTGTGTTTCTTTCGTATGCTTCATGTTCGACAGAGGGTTTTGGGGGGGGCCTCTGCTCCATAGAATCACTCAAGAACCCAGCCTGCGCCATCTGTGGCCCCCTTAGTCACTGACATGAGGAGGAGAATGTTAGGAAGTCCTACAAGAGCGATCAGATGCTTCAGCCTAGAGGTAACCCCATGACTTCCACTCATACCCGCTTTCAGCAGAACAAGGAGAAGGGCACTTGTACTCTTTCCATGTGCCCAGAGCAGTGGAGAATCAAGTAAGTGTAAGTATTAGCATCTTTTTTTAAATTACATTTTAGGTTTTGGGGTACATGTGAAGAACACGCAAGATTGTTGCATAGGTACACACGTGGCAGTGTGATTTGCTGCCTTCCTCCCCTTCACCTATATCTGGCATTTCTCCCCATGCTATCTCTTCCCAACTCCCCACCCCCGGCTGTCCCTCCCCTATTTCCCCCAACAGACCCCAGTGTGTAGTGCTCCTCTCCCTGTGTCCATGTGTTCTCATTGTTCAACACCCACCTATGAGTGAGAACCTGCGGTGTTTGATTTTCTGTTCTTGTATCAGTTTGCTGAGAATGATGGTTTCCAGGTTCATCCATGTCCCTACAAAGGACACAAAATCATTGTTTTTGATGGCTGCATAATATTCCATGGTAGTACTAGCATCTTATACATGGATGCAAAATTCTTCCCTCCAGATGCTCAAGGTTGGATGAGGTGCACCCACAAAACCAAACAAAGCAGAACGATCAGTATAACCTGGTGTAATCAGTACTCCATTCTTCCACTGGCTCAGAAAAAAACCAAAAACAAAAAAACCCAAACAAACCTTGGCATCATCCTAGTGTGTCTCCCTCAGACCCCACCTGTGATGTGTTAGCAAATCCCGTTGGCTCTGTGTTTAACCAGACATCTTCTGAGTATACCCAGAATCAGATCACATCTCACCATCTTCACTGTTGTCACCATCCTCACGATCATCCAAGCTCCCGGCGTCTCCTTCCTGAATGTTCCCATAGCCTCCTACCTGGCCTCCCTTATTCTGCCCTTGCTACCAGCAGCCATAGTGAAACTATTTAAAACGTAGGTCAGATCATGTGCTCTTCCACCCCAAGCCCTCCAGTGGTACTCCATGAACTTCAGAGTAAAATCAGAACTTTAAAATGGTCTTCATGTCTCTTCTTGACACCATCCTCATTACCTCTCTGACCTCATTCACTACAGTTTTCTCTTCTATCAATCCACCCCAGACACAGTGGCAATCTTGCTTCCATTTGCTTTTCATTTCACTTTCACTTCTTGCTTTCTTACCAGAAACACTTCTGCATGAGCTTTTGTACTGGTTCTTCCTCTGTGGGAATGCTTTTCTCCCAGACAGCCTCATGGTTCAGTCCCTTACTGCTTTTAAATCTTTGCGTAAATGTCACCATCTCAAGGAGATCAGGTTTCAAATTGCAGTCCCCACCTCTAGCAGCATCCCTAATCTCCCTAACTTGGTTCTTCCTTTTCCTTTCTCATAGTATTACTCCCTTGCTAAGGTGCCATAAAACTTACAGTTGACTGGCTGGGTGTGGTGGTTCTTGCCTGTAATCCCAGCACTTTGGGAGGCCGAGGCGGGTGGATCATGAGGTCAGGAGATCGAGACCATCCTGGTTAACATGGTGAAACCCTGTCTCTTCTAAAAATAAAAAAGTAACTGGGCGTGGTGGTGGGTGCCTGTGGTCCCAGCTACTTGGGAAGCTGAGGCAGGAGAATCGCTTAACTGGGGAGGCAGAGGTTGCAGTGAGCTGCGATCATGTGACTGCACTCCAGTCTGTGCCAGAGTGAGACTTTGTCTAAAAAAAACCAAACAAACCAAAAAACCAAAAAAAAGAACGTTACAGTTGACCCTTGAACCACATTGGTTTGAGCTGCAAGGGTCACTTATATGTAGATTCTCTTCCACCTCTGCCACCCCGAGACACCAAGACCAACCCCTCTTCCTCCTCCTCCTCAGCCTACTCAAGATGAAGATGATGAGGATGAAGACTTTGATGATGATCCACTTTCACTTATGAATAGGAAATTTATTTTCTGTTTCTTATGATTTTTTTCATTATCTAGTCAATGTTGAATTTATTTTTTTCTGAATGATTTTTAAATAACATTTTCTTTTTTCCAGTTTACTTTTATTGTAAGAATACAGAATACAATACCTATAACAAACAAAGTGTATGTTAATCAACTGTTTATGGTAAGGTCTCTTGTCAACAGTAGGCTATTAGTAGTTAAGTTTTGGGGAAGTCAAAAGTTTTACACAGATTTTCAACTGTGTAGGGAAGGGAGTCAGTGCCCATAATCCCTGTGTTGTTCAAGGGTCAGCTGTATTATGTTTCTGTCTAGAATATAAGTCTAGAGGGCTAAGCATTTTATGATGTATCTTTGGTACACCAACACAATATGAAAAGGGCCTGATATCTAAGAGGCACTTGGTAAATATTTGTTGAATGGGTCTGTGAATAGAAGCAAGAACAGGTCGCAGTGGTGGTATAGAGGAGGGACATTTAATACAGACTGAAGGAGACAACACCTGTGCTAAGGGTCAAAGGAAATGTAGGTGTGAGCGAGGCAAAGAATGGGAGGAAGGTGTTTTTTAGGGAGCAAGCCCAAATCCATTCATTGGTAGGCCAAGAATTCATTGTCAGTAAATCTCTGGGTCTCCCATTGAGAAGAACAATGATTGTATTACTCAGTTCTCATGCTACTAATAAAGACATACCCAAGTCTGGGTAATTTGTGTAGAAAAAGAGGTTTAATGAACTCACAGGTCTACATGGCTTGGGGGAGGCCTCACAGTCATGGTGGAAGGCAAAAGAGGAGAAAGGCATGTCTTACATGGTGGCAGGCAAGAGGGAGCTTGTGCAAGGGAACTCCCTTTTATAAAACCATCAGATCTCATGAGACTTATTCACTATCATTAGAACAGCATGGGAAAGGCCCACCCCCATAATTCAATGACCTCCTACTGGATCCCTCCCACAACATGTGGGAATTATGGGAGCCACAATTCAAGATGAGATTCTAGTGGGGACACAGCCAAACCATATCAGTGATGCTAAGTCAGTACATTGGTAATACTCAGACAAGTAACTGGATCACTGAGTCTCCATGTGGGTTAAATAAGACTGTGCCCTTTTCTGTAATGTAAAATATTTGAGCCTTAGGGCTTCTCAGAAGGGTTTTGTGAGGGCTTTGCTGTCAGTCTTACTCAAGCTTTCAGGACAGCCTGCTGAGCTTAAGTTCATGCACCTTTTCTCTTGGTTTTTCTTCCAATTTCGATGTGTTTACCTTTATAATTTTAATGTGATTTTTAGAACAGAGACCATTTGGTCAGGAAATTTGTATTCCTTCTCATTATACATTTCTTCATGCAGATAAAGGCACAGTGTGATATTTTTGTTTAAAATAACATTTTAACTTTTTATGTGGATGTTATGCTCAAATTACACTTTTTCTTTATATCAGCTTTTTTTTGGAGAAACTAATGCATCTGGCATTGAAAACAATGTGCATTTTGTTTTTTAAAAAGAGAAGTTCAGTTTTAAATCACTTTCTAAATGTTCTTAGTTTTCACATGTGTTTGCTTGAATTCTATTGTAATTTTTTATTTTTTTTCCCTTTAAACCAACATAGGTAATATCTTTAAGATTAAAGCTTCAGAAACTTCAAGAAGATGCAGTTGAGGATGACGATTATGATAAAGGTGAGTTTTAATTTGTTTACTGATTTTTTTTCTCATAGTGACCCATTTCTCTTTCCCTCCTTACTTGTATCTACCCTTTAAATACCAAGTGAATTGTACCCTTTGTTCCTCTGATCATCCCTGCCAGGGAATAGTTGACTCTTTTGCAGCATTACGGTTTTGTGGATTTCAAAGTACTTTATGAACATTAATCCTTTGGGTTATAAATATAACCTTATCGATTGTCCAGAAACACTTAGAGTAGTTGCACAATAAAAATTATATTAGCTTGTCACCTGTCTGCCCATGGTGCGATATATCTATAATTCACTTGTTCATGAAAAAATATTTGTTGAACACCTATGAAGTGCCAGGTAATATGGGAGGCAATAGGAAAGTAAGACAGACATGGTATCTGCCCTTGTGTTGCCAGAAAACATAAGTCTTCATGGGGCTTTCTGACTTCATAGTTTTCAGAATTGGAGATAGAAAATGGGATTTGAGAAATATCGGACTGTGCCAAAGGGGGTCACGTGCATCAAATTTCCACATACTTGGCCTAAAATATCCAAGATAAAAAGGAGAAGTTACAACATAAGGCCAGAAAAAAGCAACCATTAAAATGAGGCACCAGTATAGAAGTTGGGCTGGAAGCGGATGTGGGCTGACATGGGGGTCGAATGGGCACAAGGTAGACTGAGTCAAAGGAAAGCTTTCAGGTGTGGTTGTCCTGGGAGCAATCCTGAAAACTTTAGATGCTCATTGCAAGATCTCACACCCATTTCTTCTGGGTATGGGAAAGAGAAAGGGCTTCAAATGACATCTAGATTTTTCTAGGCATCTACTAACTTGATAGAAACTCATAGTGTTGATCAAGTTCGGTACATCCAGGATTGATCTGGAAATGGAACTTAAGGATTTTTCTGGAAGCTGGTCAGCCTTAAGGTATGGGTGTTCAGCCTTCTTAGCCCATATTATATCGTCATTGAATATGTCATAGACTGTTGGAATCAGGGCACCAAGGGAATAAGATGAGTGATTTCCAAAAGGAGGTAGAAAATCCTATTCTAGGAAATAACTGTTGCATATTCTCATTACCGATACATTGCAGTTGGGTTTAGAAAGTGATGGGGCATGGGAGGAAGGGAGAAAGGATTGGAGACAGAGGAGCAACTCTTTACATTCTCCTAGTCCTCCTTTTTCAGGCTGCTTGATTTCATAATAACACTGGGTGGAAGATGAGGTGCCTGAGAGAGGAGGCAAGTCAGAGGCAGGGGCAGGCACCCCTCAACCCCAGCATCGGCAGCTTCATCTTGGGCACAGCTGTAGGCAGGGAGGAAATGAGTTATTCCGGGGCCAGGGCTCACCTGCTGGTTTTAGTCTGTGAGAGATAATTACATCTAGCTTTGAAGCTCCCCACTACTGCACAGCTTTATTTTTCTTGCCATGGGTTGAGTCATGGTCTCTCTATCTTTAATGACATTGTAACACATAAAGCTTACAGCAGAAGTGAAAAACCAGGACAATCAGGCCCTAGTTTGTCCCCTGCCCCTGCTCAGGGCCTGGTGAACTTTCTAGACTTGGTTCTCTCAATGGGCTTCATTAAATGGAGGCCTCACTTCTTTATAGTCTTTTCTCCAAACATTCTGCAACACCTAAGGGCATGGGGTTTGACAGGTTACCCCTCATCAGCAAAGCCTAAAGAATATAGGCGTCTTTCTTTAGTGTTTCTGCCCGTTTCTGTTCTTGTTGGTACCTCACTACTTACTGCGTCAGGAGTTTCAGGGTGGGCTCGGCATTCTGTGTTTCCCAAGCCCTCCCGGTGATTGGGGTGTGTCCTGAGGCTTGAGAAAACATGGGTGCAGAGCTTCTACCAGTGAGAGCCAGGCCTGGGGGGCGGCAGCCAGCAGAGCTCTGGAAGCGGGGTTGAGTCTATGGGCTGTGTTCTTTTTGATCCACCAGAAATCTGTGCAACAGACAAGCATCCCGTTTGGCACAGGACACACAATTTACATGCCGCTCCCCTTGTCTTGTTCCTAATCCCGTAAACCTGATTCAGTGTGTTGAGAGGTAAATGTTCTTGTGGAATAGGCACAATGCCTGGTGTATGGGAGGCAGACCCTCCGTAAATGTTGTGTGAAGGAATTAATTAATAAATGACTTGCTGCCTGAATGCATGGAGGCTATGGATGGCAAGCTAGAGTGAACAAGGAGCAAGTGCTCTTGCCACCCATAGGTAGCTCATCTGCAGTGCCCAGGATGGAGGGTGGGAGTGGGTGAAGGAGAAGATCGTTGCATAGAAATGGGCATATGTGAAAAATATCTATTAAGTACATAACAGCAATTCTCAGACGTTGATGTATCTGCGAATAACCTGGGTAGGTAAAGGATTAAAATGCAGATACTGATTAAGTAGGACTGGGGTGTGGTGGGAGACTCCATTTCCAATTATCTCCCAAATGATGCACATGCTGCTAGCCTCGAGTCACACTTTGAGTAATAATGGCATATAAGAAATCCAAACAATGCCCAAATCTCAAGTACGTGTCATGAGGCTCACTATGATCTTAGCACCTATGAAAAATGCCAACACTTAGACCTGCAAACATGCCATGTATAAAGGCATACCAAATGCTGTCCTCAAGATCTGCATCTCAAGGAGTATGCAGTCCAGGAGGGGAAACTGAGTCATACACAGACTAATAAACCTATACATACTATCTTCCTTCAGATAAAGGCAAGGCAGTCCCAAAGAGGGAGAAATGCCTTCTGCCAGAGCTTGGGGTGGGTGAAGAGTCAGCGCAGTGGAGGAGGAGGTGGTTTAGATGGGTCCTGAAGGGTAGGGTCTGATGCAGCTGGCAGGGCATTCCAGCAAAGAGAAGAGGGAGAAAAGGCACTGTTACCACAAGCCACCATCCCAAAGTCAGGCTTGAAAAGAGGCTTGCAACTGACTATTGTTTGAAATGGATCACAAAAGGGCTCAGTGCTTGGACTTGTCAGTGATCAGTAAGTTATAAATCGATCACTAAGTCATTAGAAAAGTTTGGAAGACATAAAGGTAGACAATTTGTTGTTATGAGATTTGTTCAAATAAGATTTGAATGCAATTTCCTCTCATATAGTTAGTTGAGGTTGACTATTAAACATTTTAAGAATTGTTGAGTTTTTTTTTTTTAATAGTTTTTGCTTGATTTGCTGATCTTCTGTTAGGAGCAGCTGTGCAGCAGACCTGCTCTGTCTCAGGGGAAGGGGTCTGCTGGAATCTGAGAGGTTTCCCAGGAGAAACAAGAGGTCAGCCTTCTCTCCCGTGGTTTTTGTTGTTGTTGTTGTTTTTTCTCTCTTTCATTCTAGTTTCACTCATAAAAATGACTTTGTGTTCTAAAGAAAGAAGCAGTTGGCACAGAATATAGAGTTCCATGTTTTATCTCATCAAAGTGCTGGCAAATTTACCCATTAATGCCTTGTGGGAAAACCTTCTCAGGGCTCTACCTCTCTAGGTACTTCTCCCTCACCAGGAAAGTAAAATTAATATTTCTTTCTTTTCTTTCTTTCTTTCTTTTTTTTTGAGACGGAGTTTCGCTCTTGTTACCCAGGCTGGAGTGCAATGGCGCGATCTCGGCTCACCGCAACCTCCGCCTCCTGGGTTCAGGCAATTCTCCTGCCTCAGCCTCCTGAGTAGCTGGGATTACAGGCACGCATCACCGTGCCCAGCTAATTTTTTTGTATTTTTAGTAGAGACGGGGGTTTCACCATGTTGACCAGGATGGTCTCGATCTCTTGACCTCGTGATCCACCCACCTCGGCCGCCCAAAGTGCTGGGATTACAGGCGTGAGCCACCGCACCTGGCCAATATTTCTTTATATTCTTGCATAAGGTGGAAGGGCTTGGGAGAAAAAGAATATTAATAGTTTTTGCACAGCATCCTTCTCTGAGAGGTTTCATCAGATTCATTGCATTAATGCCTATCCTGTGCTTATGGTCAGCTGAGGTGCAAGTTTGAGACCTCAGGGCCCTGCAGGGAGAGGAATTGTAGTCAGTGCTGGAGATAATGGTGCCAGCTCTGATGTGGACGGGGCAGAGAAAAGGAGGGCGTGGGCAATGAGTTTCCGTGTGGTTACGGTTCCAGTTGTTCCTGCACCCGTTTGTGCCCCATCATACCCCCCGGCTGCTCACGTCCCATGTCCAGCAGTGACCATGCCCACGTCCACTTCCAATGCGAGCAAGGAGAGATTGTGAAGAGGAAGGAACACAATTTTGGGAACTCAGCATTTCAGTGACTTGTATCAATGTGATATATAGTGCAGCTGGCCTCACTCTGCTTGTTTAGAATTTCCTTCTTGGAGTGAAAGTAGCCAGCATTGTATTACTTTTTCAATCCTTTGTCTCCACCCCTCTTTATTATGACACAGTTCTAGTACAATAAACATTTATATACAATGACAGGCATTGAAAGAAAAATGGTCTCAGCAGTGGCCAAGCATAAAAACACTCTAGGGTGAGAACAGCTTTTGTCTAAATTACCATAATGTCCCTTTTTCTGAATTATGTCTTGAGCAAGATTTCTGTATCCACAGTTCCTCTTCAGTGATGGTGTGCAAATTACCCAGCCTGATACCCATTTCCTTCACAAGGGACCTGCCCTTACACCTCCCAGAGGGTTTGATGTCTGAGTGAACTCCAGGAGCCTGGCAGTTAGAACCAGAATCCCTGCTACAGAACCGTCAATGTGACTGAACACAGCAAAGCCCCACAGATTACTTTTCCCTGTGTTTCATTCCAGTGTAGAAAGAAGAAAACAAGATTGAATAGAATTGCCCATTTTTATATCTTCAGGACTGCCAGAGTCAACGGGAGGTGGATGCTATTTGGGGGCCCATGGAACATAAATGCTTCTCTTGGCAGCCTGTATCGTTTTGTGTTGTGACTTAAAAAGTGGACTGCAATTGAAATCGGCTCAGAGAGACAGGTCCAGGAAAACTGTCACTTTATAATGTCTGCAGAGAAAAAAAGCAAACATGAC